TGTGTCCTTCAAAAGGACGGAGAGATTGGCCAACCGTTTTGTCTGTGCAACAACGTGCGGCGACTCTCTGCCAAAAAATCCCGATGAGCACAACGTCCTGAACTGCATCAGTGAGCCCAGCAAAAAGTAAATTTTCTGCATTTATGAACATTGCTTGTCTGACTGATTCAGCAAAGATCTAATTATGAAAAAGGGATGGAAGCCAATAGCCTCCTCCTTAATATGCGTGTGCGCGCGTAGATGTGTGTGCGTACAAGCGTGTGGCTCGGGAGCGGTGATAGTGGTTGGTGTACCGCACTGTGAACCTGGCAATTATAAGTTTGATTCCAAGCCATTGCTAACATCAAGTGGTGAATGATGTAAGGATCAGTCTTTGGGCTCTCTTGGATGGACTCAGTCTTAAATGAATACCTGATGCAATGTGTAAACATCAGCAATGGGGGGATTAATGTGGTTAGGCTTTGGCCACACCATCCCCACATGTGCCATGCCAGTCTTACGAGAAACTCACAAACAGCACTTGCCTCAACAATCTGTAAAGCTATTTCAATGATATTTATCTTTTCTGTGAGTGAATCTAAAGAACAATGTAATATCCACTACAAAACAGTTTTATGAACCTGATGTTCAATACCTGTTCATCAACAACAACCAGATAAAATAGTTTTTGGGGCCTGTCCCAAGCCTCTGTCAGAAAGTAATTCAACCGGAGTGGTAATCACTAGCGCTGGGGAGGCAAAGGGCAGGGTGGGAGTGGTTCTGGCCACACCAGCTACTCCTAATCCGTGTAGGCCTTGGTAGGCGCCCACTCACAGCCCTTACCCCAAAAGTATGTTAGAGGCAACGCGTGAGTATATGAATATACAAGTTGAAACAAAGTAAGTTTTATTTCTACCGATTTAAAAATAAACCCAAAACACTCGTCTTGAGAAATGGCCTTAATCCAGGAGTGCATTGGGAAACAACGGCATGTGGGATGTCTGGACATTCCCTATTCTAATAGGGTTTTTCCCCTTTTTTCTGACAATAAAACTGAAACCTTTTTACAAGGAATCATGTCTGCATTAACCACAATACTTGCAGTCAAAATGCAAAAAACACATTCTGATAATATATGCATTGCCCTTGAAACTGATTGGTCCACACCAGACAACTTTTGGTACTGGCAAAGGAGGTCTAATGATGTAGATGCTTACCCCGAGCCCTCGTTACTTTGATAGTGCATTGTCTTTGAGCTGTACGCCTTTTGGCGTCATCTGGTCGAGCACCAATTGAGACGAGGCTCAAAAGAAAGCTGTCTCTGGTGTGGACCAATCAGTTTCAAGGACAATGCATATTTTATCAGAGTACGTTTATGTTTGCATTCTGACCACAAGTATTGTGGTTTATGCACACATGAATCCTTGTAAAAAGGTTTCAGTTTTGTTGCCAGAAAAAAGGGGAAACCCCCTATTATTATATTTTGGTACTGGAAAAGGAGGTCTAATGATGTATTCCCTATTCTATTAAATGGCATATTTAAAAATACTGCCGAGTTGCCATCATGTAGAGAAGTATTCACAGAATAAGTAATTTGCTGCTGTGTTGTGTGAACTAATTCATTTGGTTTCAATTTAAGCGAAAGATTCTTCCTCGATGTAAATGGTTATAACAATCACTTGCAAACCAGAGGTTTCACCAGCACGACCGTTGAAACAATGGGGCAAGTTTCTTAACCCCTCCGCCCCCCTGCTCCCCACCTCTCCACTCAGCAGTGTATACGGTACACTAATTAGGTGATCAGCAGGTCACATGCGGTGGAGTAAAGTGTGGGTACTGCCACCTCTTCTAAGACGTTTGGCCAGCATTGAATAGTAGCCTAAAAGACCCGGTGGAGAGAGGGGGTCTCACTTCTGGTCTAACCATAATCCTGACTTCAATTGGCTGGTGCCTGGAATGATTTGGGCTGTGAGGCAGCATGGCTCCAGGGAAAGTCCAATGGGAATATGCAGAGTCACCCCCGAAAGCCTGCTTCAAGGTGCTTCACGTCTCACCTGCTGCACCCATAAAGGAGACCGCCCCGCCCCCAACCCCCCGATACTCAAATCTCTGCACTCGCTCCCGATTCAGCTCCACGTCAACAAGGCTGCCCTCACCGTCTCCAAGACCCTCAATGGACTCGCCCCTGCCGAGCTCTCCGCTCTCATCTCAATCTACCCCCTTTCATGCGCTCGCCACTCGAGCAACCAAGGCCTTCTGTCAAAGCCTCCAATCAACCTTTCATCTGTGGGAGATTGCTCTTTCTCCCCTAGCCATCTGTGTTGTCAATTCCCTGCCCCTGTTAAAGTCCACGCTTAAAACCTTCTCATCTCAGCTGCATTTGAGTGACCGTCTCTTCTAAAAAGAAACCAGGGTAGTGTAATATATCCCTCTATTCTCATGATGCATATGTCCCATTATTTTGTACAGTACATTCAAATGTGGTTGCATTTATCATCTCTATAATCCACATTGTATTCTATCAGTGTTTTCTCCAAAACGTATAATTATAATCAGCTTTCAAGCGCCCATGCGCCAACACGAGGTATATTCCCGAGATGTGACACACTGCCGTTGCTTTAGCACTGGGAGGGTGGCAGGGTGGAGCAGTAGTGATACTCGTGCCTCAAAACAAGAAAGACCTGGGTTCGATTCCTGACTTGGACGTTTTTATATTCTCAACTTCCTCTGAATGGATTTCTCCAATATCCTCCCATAGCTAAACAAACGATGTCACTGGTATTGGCCAAACATGCTAAAAAATACCTGCAATTACTCAGTCGGGATTACACACGATTGCCCGCCTACTATGAAAACATGGCAGGACTCTCCTGGAATGAGTCTTGATTGAGTATTGATGTTCAAAGAGCCTTTCATAGGAAAACAATCAAAATCATAACAAAAATAAACCTATTCCAAAATAAACTGAAGTTAAACAACAAATATCAGGATGTGCTGACCTTGCCGAAAGGAACGAGAAACAGCATTTATAGCGATCGACTTTGGAAGCATAACTCGGTTGCCATCGTTGATATTGAAGAATCGGGATGAGTTGTTTTCCTTCATGCTTATGAATTCCTTAATGTAGTTTTCATAATATTAAGTACTGCATATGTAATGTTTCTGTGTGTTGTGCCTGCCTTTGATGGTTTTACTTGTGAAATATTGTCTGTGCTTTGAGAACTGTAATTAATGATAGAGACATTGCAAACATAAAGATGATGAGGCTGATGAAAGGTAGAAATATGTAAAGTATGCATGTTAAAACAACTTACAAGTACTAAGTTACATTGGTACTTTAGGCCAGCCTAAAAGCATGTAATGGTTACAACAGTATTCATGGAAAATGTTGGATACCTTGCACACATCTAGAGATTATATAATAATTGTAAAATAATAAACAAAATGTGAGTTGTCAGAATCATCACAAAAATAAAAAAAAAACTATTATTCCTTTGACTAATAGGCATTGCAAACCAATGTTAGCAAATAGCAATTGTTTAATTGGTTTTGATCTGTCCCAGGCTCATCAGCAGGTTGTGACCTATCAAAGAGATTATACCGGACAGCCTCGCCTGATATTATCACAAACAAGCATCTACAAGCACAGGTGTGGATTGCATTGACCCATGAGTCGTCCAGGCTTGAATTAAAACTTATGTTCCTATTGATGGAAACTGGTCTACTGCACCAACGGAGCTGTGTGTGTCATTTCTACAATGTCTAAATATTTTGATATCTATCCTAGCTGCGTAAAAAAGGATTGCTTAATGATCACAGTTGGTCTCCATGTGCTATGGGTGGTGAAATGTGATACAGTAAAATGGGCTTCCATGCTGATTCTAGTCATGTGACTTACACATCTACTGACCATAGCCACCTCCTGTTAAAAGCAGGCTTGCTGCAACAGAGATTCCCTGAACATTGATGAGAGCTGCAAAGTTGCTACAGAACAGTGCTGAAACACATTGTGCTGACACAGTAAAGCTACCAGGCTGTTAGGCCTAATTGCTGTTGAGACCCAGACGTTTGAAACCGATCAAGAGCTTGACTAGAAGTCCAGTCGACCAAAGACAGAACATATTTTATTTTTATAAGAAGCTCCAGAATATAACTTGATTTATGCGTGTTTTCACCTTGAATAATCCACTACAGTGCATAGCAGATTAAATCATCTGAGGATAACAAATATGATTATATTCCATCCATACATTCTTTCCCCATGTGTGTGAGGTCACACAAGAAACATTATTTTCATTGACGGGAATATTTCAAGCTCACGCTCTACATTTGACAGCGTTAACCCTATGCCACGTTTTCCATGTGCTTTAAACACACACACCTAACTGGCACTTTTTTGTGGAGCACACGTACAATCTTTGCTCACTTGATCAATTCACATGCACCACATGTGCCAATGCATTCTATGTGCGCATGCCCAAGCAGCTTCTCTTTGGCCAGACAGAGGGAGCGATATGGACATGGCACTGACTCGAGACAAAACGGGCCGATTTGTTTATGGGAGGCTTTGGAAATGAATTAAATTGCAGATGACTGATTAGTAGCATCAGGGTTGGCCTCTGTAGAGGAGGCTCGTGGAGGATGCTACTGGGCTGTTTGGAGGTAATTAACCCCAAGCAATAATGGAGGACAGAGGGGTGGGGCTCACAACAACGAGCGGAGTTCCAGGCAGCTAAAACTAAACATAGGAAGCTCGCACAATGGGAAGTGCAGGTGGTGGTTCTACCAGTCATCTTGAGTCAAACCATAGCACCTGGGTCTGTCCCCATGACCTCCTGCGGGAGAGCCTTAAACACTTCACATTGCCTCAAAGTGCAGAGTCCGGCTCAAATTCTGTGCTGACGTCACCACTTCGTGCCGAATGGCAGCAGCAGCAGCAGCTGCTGACGTTGTAGTGCACGCCGTGCGCGTGCCGTGCATGGCTGTGTGTGTGAGGCGGCGCTGCTGCCCCGTGACGGCACCTGTAGGAGGCGGGCGGGTTGGCTCGAGCGCAGCAGTGCAGCGTGACGGTCCTGTCGGGCTGCTCCTCGAAAAACTCCGTGTCCACCGGCTGCTCTTGGAACACAGGACCCAGGGGGTGGCCCTTGTCTGCCATGGCAGGATGGAGCAAGGGACAGAGACAGACAGAACAAGCGTCAAAGTGTGACTGTCAGTGGATAGGTCATTTAGATGAGGGCAGGCAGTGTTAATTTTGTCCAAATGTTTAGTTGAATCATAGTCTTAGTCTAGAACTCAGATCACCGGGCTCAAAACACTGCGACCAACCACTGCACCACCGTAGTTATATCATGTAAAACAAAAACATTGTCGTAGTATAATCATGGCCTTTATATTGCCAGTTGAGGTTCAATGGATTTCAAGAATCTTTTTCAGAATGCTCCAGAAGGCAACTAGCGAGGAAGCCGACATAGGAGGCCACCTCACAGACCTGCATGTTGTGAGTCACACACACACACAATGGCATCTGCACATCTACAAACCCTGGCTCCAAAGCACAGGATTACAACAAACCTACCCGACCACCAAACTTCATTTTTTATCAAACCATTGCAAGAGTTAATTTATAATATTGTAATGCGGATGTTAATGTTAGCCTTTTGTGATTTATATGCAGCAGGCAATGGAATGACTATTTTTCAGTTTATCATTACATTCAGTGAGGAATTGGACGAGTGCACATAGCCTTGTGAGGAGTGAAAAGGAATAAATATATGCTCCCATAAATGTTTCTAATGGTAATTGCAATGTGTTTGTTCTTATTTTAAACTACAAATGCATTCTTTGAATCGACAATCTGCAGAATAACACCATATCATTTAATTAAAAGCAGTGTTACACACCTTGGATGTTACTTTTTCTCACAAAAATATTTTTGTGGAAATTTAATAAAGGCAGGCTGACGTTAATGCAATTTTCCTATGAATGATGAAGAGGCATGCGACTTAAAACCCCCATTCTGAATATTTTATTCAATCTCCATAGCAGAATTCTGAACTCTTCCTCAGAGCAGCACTAAGCCATTTAAAATCGGGTGGTATTAAGAATGAGATTTTTACCTAATAATGACTTATATCCCTCTGTCAATCCATTGCTGGACGACGGCCTCCTCTCATGCAGGCAGTCTTGGTGCTTGCTTCACTTCATGTTGGGCAGTGCAGGATGGTGAAGGGCAGCCCTTGGACAGGTTCAAATGTGATCTGGTGTCAGCCATGTCCAGGTGTTAAACTTTGTCTTTTTACTGAGGTGTATCTTTCTTGAATAAATTAGCAACTAATTACAATCATTGTCCTTGGTGCCGATCACTCTCGGTTAGATTCCTTCACCTCCCTTCACCATCGCCAGCAGGTTCAGCTACAAGGTCCCCCCTTCTCCTGCCTGCACCACCACCGGGCCTCTACTCTCAGCTGTCCCCCGTATCTCTCCTCGCCGCTGTCGCACAGCGCTACAGCTCACAATGGAACTCTCATCCTCCTCCACAACGGCAGCGCAACTCCCGAGTTCCTGCTCTCTACACATGGAGACCGCTTAGGCGTTAATTCTAGATTTGAAGCTTTCGTGACTGCAAGGATTCATATTCTTAGGTTTTTTCGGTAAAGTCACATAGGTACAAAATTAAAATTACTTTCATTAATTTTAATTTTAATAGATTTTTATTTTTATTTTTATTTTACTTTTATTAATTTTTATTTTTTACCTACGTGACTTTACCGAAAAACATAAGAATACGCTTAGGCGTTATTTATCCACGCTAGTCCCCTCAGTCTGGAACGTGGCCATCATCCCTATCCACTCAATCCACACCGACTTTCAAGAGACATGCCTGGCTTTCGAGTGGCTCCACACCTCTGAGTCGTGGTCATTTATTTCCGTGAAATATTGTGTGCTTTGTAAATCGCATTATTTATTATTATTGGGGTGTGAGGCAGTGATGGGTATTATTACAAGACCAGACAATGTTTTTGGTGAGTTGTAACATGTTTGTATTTTCAAAGGTAAAGATCATGTTTTTTCTTAAATCAAATGTTTATCCTGGGTTTGACCCTATCCATCAACAACAAAACACACGATGATCCATTATTGAACCCTATCATCCATTGGCATTTCATGCTTGTGGGCATTCTACTGGCGTTTTGCACTGAAACAGAAGTGCCAACCAGTAATGTCTGGGAAGAAAGCTACATTCAGATTTATGTCTGGATCACTTGGATAATTCTCACAGCTCAAGCATTGGAGTCTTGCTCCTCCCGTTTGGTGGTGGCCCTGAGCCAATGGGGAACATTCCATGTTTTTTTGGTGATGGCCGGGCTCAGCTGGGGGACGTTAATTCAATTAATATCGATGTAAGATGGGAAGTGTGCAAAAGCAAAATGTGTTAATCAATGTGTTATAGCTGCTTTGACATCTCGATCAGAAACATGAACATTGACAAAGAATACGGAATAAAACGCTTAAAAGTGAGGAAATAAGAATGGAGAGATGTGTGCATGGGTTTACACCGAGCGATAGAAAACACACTCAGCTTAAATGACCCAAGTGACTGCCAAAAACATTAAACGCCATCCCTAGACCCATTCCCAGAAGGCACGATCGCCAGTGGGAGAGAAGAGTGGCTGAGCAGGGAATGTTCCTGAGAGGACGTCCACCGTGGAGATGGAGCCATGAGCTTGACTTGTGTGCAGGTGCTGGGTGGAGCGCTGCAATATGGGACTGTGAGGGGTGGTGATGGCTTCGGGAGGTCTTCTTCTAGCATCGGATTGATCATGGTTGCTGCTGATGATAATGATGAAGATGACATTCAAACTTTCAACCGCTGCTGGTATTTTTTGGAATAATCAAAGACAAAAGAATGAATGGGTATCATGTCCATTCCAGGATTCACGTTGATCCTCCCTCATCTATAATCGCTACCAAAGCCAATTGCTGCACTGGCTGTGTTACATCGTTGGGGCTTGGACAGCATTAGCAGTGGGTGAACAAAGGGGGTTGGTTTCACCAGCCATGTTATCTTGTGTGCGTTTATAAGCCATGCACTATGCAATCGTTATTTTGCACTTTAGGTTGTCAAAAGCAGTTGTAGATTATTGCCGAATGCTAAAACTGTTGTTTTCTGAAATCTGCAAGTTTTTTTCCATTAGAATTAAATTGAATGCATTTTGTTTAACTAGGTGACAGACCATTACATTTCATTAGCTCTGCTCTGCGGAAGACATCGACTATTATAGATAAAAAAAAACATGTTTTCCATTTTTACAACCTGCAGGTAATATGCAGCGTTTAAATATGAATTTCAGACTAAAGCACAAACACACAATGGCTCACTCCCATGAATATAGTTCCACAATGGTATTTGGAAACTGTTGACAGAAATTAATGGGCTTCTGTGAAACTTAATCCTTTCACTATTTAAAGTACCTCAGTGCCATGTGAGATAACTACATTGGTCTTCAGCGACTGTTAATTTAGTCGGGTGCCACGGTAGACTGACGTGGGAATTGCTCCCCTCTCCTCACCCTATCAAAAGTGGAGTTACTCACCACACCGATATGACCCTGGGAGTCAGTGCCCATACCACAAGGGCTTCATTAAAAGATCCTATTTACTGCATCAGACCAACACTAATGATCTGTACATTGCAACTTCAGAAGTAAACGGAATGTATGGTATAAGAGGGCACAAAACACTCTCATCGGTCGACTTAGCCCACCATTTCTCCAAAGACAATAAAATTCGCACCACTTTTCTGAAAATCAAGTCACAACAGTTATTGTTTTATGGAGAGACTGGTCTTGTCATTTTAATGAAGAATCTCCACTACTTCTGCCACAGGGCCACCAACAAAGAAAGGTACCACCCCTTGATCGTTTCAGTGGACACACTTTTTTTAATCAATTACTGTCCATCCGCTGCAGGATGACAGCCTCCCCAAACTTTGTTTTAGTCTTCACCAGAAATTGAACTCGCAGGGTTCATAGGTCACAGGGTTCATAGCACGGTTCACACTCACCTTTATGTATATATGTGTGTATATGTGTCTAATAAGAATACATATATTTGCACAAATAATGTCCACCAATATTTCTTCATAAAATGTGTTTCATATCCATTCTGGATTGCCAGAATGCCTGTGCCTGTCCAGGATCCCAACACAATCATACACCATGGAGTGTGTGCGCAAACCCTGTTCAAAGCATGACTGCATGCCCTCTATTTTAGGTGCTGGATTTGGAATTGTGGCACCAATTCAAATCACATTTGGAACTAAAATACCAAGCGTGAATATGAGTGGGTTTTCACACTTGCTGATAACTCCAGCCACATTAAAGTGGGTCCCACTCTCTGTATATTACCTGTCTTGCTCTCTGCTTTTTACATTTCCTATCTTGACTTAAAGGTTTCGTGACTGCAGGAATTAATATTCTTTGGGTCTAATGATATATATATATTTTCACCTGATGACGATTGCTTGTGTTGCGATCGAAACATCGTGATATTTTTATTATTTTTCTATCTACATGGCTTTACCGAAAGACCCAAAGAATATACATTTCCTTTGTTTTAACCTTTCGTACGGTTACGTGGAATAAATGTTTTTGTTTTATTACTTTTTTACAGATTTCTCCATAAATACTGGCATGACCCTAAGTTGGCAGCTGACAATGAGAGCCACTGCACTTTTCTGAGTACAGAGCCATAACCTCTGACCTCCTGAGTTTTAAACCGTACAGCCTCAGTGAATTAACCACTTTCTCAAGTGTAGTGAGTGAGCTGATGGTCTCAGCTTGGGCATCAATTAACTGCTTTTTGTGTTTAGTTTGTTATCCTTCCCCCGCACCTCCGATAATCATGGTTGGCTACGTACGATGCAAAAGAAGTTCAACATACGAACATACACATACATACATATCAATAGCAATACTAACCATTTGCCACAAAGTGACGGTGATGTCACCACGGCACCTGTGCCAGACCAGATGCATTTTTACACATACATACATACAGACATACAGACAACAACAACCGCCATTCGCCACTAAGTGGCGGTGACGTCACCATGACGCTTGTGCCAGGCTATGTGCACCTTGAGGCCACATGAAGTGTCGAACGCCCACTGGCAGGAGGTCACGGGGCAGACCCACGTGCCGACTGACCGAGATGACTGGCTGATGCACCACCTGTGGCCCCTACTGTGCCAACTTGCTGTGCTTTAGCCACCCGGCGCTCTGCTCATTGTTGTGAGCGTCGCTCCTCCGCCCTCCGTTGTTGTTGGAGGGCGATTGCCTCCAACTGCCCAGCAGCGTCTTTCACGAGCCTCCTCCACAGAGGCCGATCTTGACACCGCTGGTACCAGTCATCAGCAAGTCCACTCAACTCCACATCCTCCTGTACCACATCACTCCATCTCTTCTCTAGCCCATACCGCGCCATTTTAGCCCCCTCTATCCTGCTGAACAAAAGCTGTTTAGGCATGCAGTGACTGGGCATGCGGGCTACATGACCCAGCCAATGCAGCCTTGCCTGCCGGAGGAGCTCACCGATGGGACTTTGCCCAGATCTTTCAAGGATTTGTGAGCTCCTCACACAATCCAGCCTGGTTAAACCCAGGATGGATCGTAGGCAGGCCAGCCTAAATGTTTCCAATCGGCGAAGATGCTCCATTAGGGAGAGTTCATATTTCTCAAGCATAGAGAAGGGAGGGAATGACCGTGGCCGAGAAAACTTTAAGCTTCCTGTGGAGCGACAGACCAAATAGCTTCCACACAGCGTTACGCAACCGACGAAAATATAGTGCCGCTCAACTGATTTTGAGTGAGACCTCTGCTGTCAAACCGGAGCCGGTCATGAGCACACTGCCCAGGTATGGGAAACTCTCCACTCTCTCTGCAACTGCCCCCATCACCAATTGGGAGTTGTGGGAGTGGAGTGCCCGATGGTGCTTAGTTTTGGTGGTGCTGATGGTAAGGCCCCACCTCTTAGTGGCACGCTCCAGTTTCAGCAGCAGCGCCTCCAACTCCTCCTCTGAGTGAGCGGCAATTACCAGATCATCGGTATACAAAACGTGATTGACCAATAGGGAGCCATCCCTTGACCGCATCCGGGCATTAATCAGCCTCACATTGTATCTGTAATAGATGTAAATTCGTCTGGTACAGCTATCAAAGGCTTCACGAACTACGTGGTCGAAAAAGATGTTAAATAATGTGGGAGCCAGAGGACATCGCTGTCGCACATACATACAGATACACATACATACACATACATGCACTTTATAGAAACATACAAAGACAAAGATCCCCTGTATAGCCTGACCAGACTGTTGGGGCAAGTGCTGTTAGCGAGCACCTCTAAAGCCAGCACGACACATAAGGGGGTGGATGGCCAACACCACACCCGGCCGCCTTTGTCTCCCCAGTGGTGATGTTTACACACTACACCTGGTACTAATTTGAGGCTGAGTCGACCTAGGGGAGACTCATGACCGGTTAAGCGTAAGCGCGCTAACCACTACACTACCGCTCTCCATACACATGCATAGATATACACATACATACAAAAGGACACACATACATACGGACACACATACAGATACACATACGTACATAAACATAAAATAAATGACTGCACAAAAACCCATCGCGTGAAATTTGGGTTTCAGCCACTACCTTTGCACTGCTCCACTTTAGAATTCCCTCCCTTAGTCCCTTCTCTCACGTCCTTATAACATTCTTATAAACGCGACCGTGCTCTTAGTTGCTGGCCGCGTTGCGTTCTGTCCCTGTGCGTGCGTGGGAGGGTGGGCCCTCTCACCGGTGGGGTGTCCCGTGCCGTTGTCGCAGGGAGACGAGTGGTGTTGCTGTGGCCGAGAGGCGCGATGCCCGTGGGGGTGCGAGTGGTGGGACGCCGAGGTGGCTGGCTTGGTGGTTGCGGTGCACGCGCCGACTGTGCCCAGCGGCACTCTCCCCTGCCACTCTCACTGCCGGGGAAGAAGACATCCATGTTACTCTACATGTACATTGATGAAGACACCATGTCACTCTACACGTACATTGAAGACATCCATGACATGTTATGAAGACATCCATGTCACTCTACATGTACATTGAAGACATCCATGTTACTCTACATGTACATTGATGAAGACACTCATGTTACTCTACATGTACATTGATGAAGACACCCATGTTACTCCACATGTACGTTGATGAAGACATCCATGTTACTCTACATGTACATTGATGAAGACACCCATGTTACTCTACATGTACATTGATGAAGACATCCATGTTACTCCACATGTACGTTGATGAAGACATCCATGTTACTCTACATGTACATTGATGAAGACACCCATGTCACTCTACATGTACATTGATGAAGACATCCATGTTACTCCACATGTACGTTGATGAAGACACCCATGTTACTCCACATGTACGTTGATGAAGACATCCATGTTACTCTACATGTACATTGATGAAGACACCCATGTTACTCTACATGTATATTGATGATGACACCCATGTTACTCTACATGTACGTTGATGAACACCCATGTCACTCTACATGTACATTGATGAAGACATCCATGTCACTCTACATGTACATTGATGAAGACATCCATGTCACTCTACATGTACATTGATGAAGACATCCATGTTACTCTACATGTACATTGATGAAGACCCCATGTAACTCTACATGTACATTGATGATGACACCCATGTCACTCTACATGTACATTGATGAAGACATCCATGTCACTCTACATGTATATTGATGAAGACATCCATGTCACTCTACATGTACATTGATGAAGACATCCATGTCACTCTACATGTATATTGATGATGACACCCATGTCACTCTACATACATTGATGACATCCATGTCACTCTACATATACATTGATGAAGACATCCATGTCACTCTACATGTACATTGATGAAGACATCCATGTCACTCTACATTGATGAAGACATCCATGTCACTCTACATGTACATTGATGAAGACATCCATGTTACTCTCTACATGTACATTGATGAAGACATCCATGTCACTCTACATGTACATTGATGAAGACATCCATGTTACTCTACATGTATGAAGAAGACATCCATGTACTCTACATGTACATTGATGAAGACATCCATGTCACTCTACATGTACATTGATGAAGACATCCATGTTACTCTACATGTACATTGATGAAGACATCCATGTTACTCTACATGTAC